GTTGATGTGCCGCGTGAGGTTGCCAAGAGTTCAGAAGTTGTCAGAAGTTGCCAGAAGTTGCCGGAAGTCGCTGGAAAATACACTCGGTGCTTTGACTAGAGTCTCTGATGGCTGGATAGATGTTTTGATGGCAAGATCAAGGCGTTGGGATGACTAGACATGATCATGGTTGAAAAATTAGCAAATCGTTCCCGTGTTCAAAATCATAGTAGCAGTTTTCGACGCGACACTTCATACTCAGAATATATGTATTTTCAGATAAAAATTACATCAATCGACAGGAAATTGAAAAATTAACCCTCCAAGGTGGTAGAGAAATGATCTATGAGTGATGTTGCACAGTGATTCTATCTCAAACATTATGGTTGGAGCAAATCGTTCCCGTGTTGCTAACAAACAGGAACCGTTTTTTCTCAGACGCTCCGCGAAGAGTTTGCTGGGGATGTCCCATTTAGGTTTAGTGTAAGCCCCGTGACAGTTGATTGGCTCAGATGTTAGCAGGACTTGGCAGAAAGTAGCAGTAGTTCGGATTGGGTTAGCTCGGAGTGGAGTGGCTGAGTTTACTGAGATAAGATGTCAGCACACTTGGAAACAACGTCCTGGTTGTATCTGGGATCACATCGTTTTCTCGTATTTCGACGGCTGGTGCAGCTGTAAAGATCATGTCAGGTTAACAGAGGCTTCATGACCGGATCTAAGTTATCTGAAACATCCATCGCTTGAAGATATTTGTTCAAACTCCCACCTCCAACGAATGTACACAGAATGGAATGATTGGCAAGGTGGAGAAGCTGAACCCACCTGAGGTCTGCCGTCAAACCACGCAAGTTGGTGTTGGATGGGCACAGATATCATCTGCGTGACTATCTCCGCTTCATGCGTCTTAAGCTCAGACCTCTGTCGACAATACTTGACACTCGACAATTCACAGCTCAGAGGATGCGTCTCTCCACCCCCTCATTACCTCCGCAAGATAACTAAGAGCTCGATATATAAACTTCTGGTGATGTTCCCTGTGTTATCCCGGTGTACTTGGCGATATAAAGTCGCGAATAAAGAACCATGGGCCACCGCCTTTTCCTCTCTGCCCATAGTTGATTTGCATCCCATGGAATTGTCTCACAAGTTGGGCAAGGAACAGCAGAGGGACCTAGCAAGCCGGCTATGCGACGTCTTCACAACTACGGGATTTGCCTATCTAGTCAATCATCCATTGATCTTCGATCATGAAGCAGTTTTCAAACTTTAGCATGGACTTCTTTTCTCTCCCAACCAACGAGAAGATGAAGCTGACTAAGAGGAGCTTTCGCAAGGACCACTTAAATACTTATCGAGGGTAAGTAGAACAACCATTTTATCGAGTCTTGCTCCCGTTTCATTAGCATGGATACACACGGATTCGAGAGCTGGATCATAACTTTTTGGACAGGTATTTCCCTACACAACCAGATCTTGCCAGTGATAACCTGAAGGAGGGTTTTGAGATTGGGCCTTAGAATCCCATGCCGCTGACATCGGCATCAAACAAAACATCCAACAACATCCATTTACCAAAGATCAATCTTTCAGAACACAATATCTGACCCGCGCCAACCGTATTTCCCTCCCGCCAAAAGCTCGAGCAGCTCCACAACGAACTACAATCCCTTGCATCAACCTTGCTCTCTCTCCTTGCCATCTCACTTGATAAAGATGCGGATTTCTTCTCATCATATCTGATAGATTCACTCAGCACATTGCGACTCCTCCACTACCCGACCACCTCATCATCCGCTCACTCACAAAGACAAGAGTTAATGGGTTCTGGTTCCGTGAAGTTGAGTTGCACCCCGCACACAGACAGCGGAATTCTTACCCTTCTTCATCAGGATGCTACAGGGGGTCTAGAGGTTCAAAATTCAGATGGGAAATGGGTTGCTGCGCCGTATGTTCCAGAATCCATCGTTGTGAATATTGGCGATTTGATGGCGAAAGTGTCAGGTGGGCGGTTCGTTGCTACCATGCATCGTGTACGCGCCCCACCCGCGGCCGCGCCCACACTTGCATCCGTAGCTCCAATTTCTACAAATACTGTTGGGACAGAGCATTTTGGTAGATTTAGCGTGCCGTTTTTCTTCGAGCCGGGTGAGAAATGCGTTATCAAATCGGTTGACGATGCGGATGGGGTCGGCGCCGTTGTTTATGGGGAGCATGTGAGGGCTAAGATGAAGACTTGGGTTGAGTTTCAAGATCTTTGAGTGGAGGGAATGCAAGGGCATTCCTAATGGAGGAAAATTTGTGGTATCGGGGGACGGGTCATCGGTATATTTATATCCTATTCCTATCTTTCAGTCGTATCTGTGGATGGGGTGTTTTTTCAGCTATCAGTAAGAAATAGCTGTCTATTCTTCATATGCATTGGACTGGACTTGAAAGCAGGTGTCCTCATATCCCCCAACGCGACCATTGACCTGCCAAACATCACTAGCTTTCACGAATTGATACTACTACCCACAACCCACCAATTGCATGGGGAATTCGTTATTTTCAGTCCTATCCTTACTCTAACGACCAGTTAACTTAGTCTTGCCGGCTCCGGTACCTCTCCGTCCCACTCATCCCGTGAAGCAAACTGGGTGATTGCGCAAGCGTACTTCCTTCTCTCTAATTCTCTTATACCCACTTGAAGAGAATGGTGTCCCTGATAAGAGTTCAACTGGCTTTTTCAAACCCACTGTGATTAGTGTGTTCCAGGCCAGCTAGTCGGAGGATAGATAGTGACGAAGAAAAGCGAGAAAAGAATACATACAACCGCACATTACGCAGCACTCTCTCCGATTACCCTTCATAAAAAAAGAAAAAAAAGTCATCATACCCATACTCGGAATCGAACCGAGGATCCTGTCATTACTAGATGATCCACGACGAGCATGAACTGGAGATACCGGAGGGAAATCAACATTCTTGTGCAGAGTTGTAGAATTCCTTCGCAACTACTGTTAGATGTCAACTTGAGGGTTATGTTGGAGTTGAATTAGAGTTAGAGCTATAAACTTTGATGCCAGGTAAGGTTTGCAAGCTGAGACACCGGTACTAGTTATACAAACTTCCTGCAGATTAACTGTGCCAAGCGCTACTCACAATCATTAGTGAGTGCGCCACAGCGTACGGAAAACCACACCGTACAGAAAATATTATGAATATAACAATCTTCAAAAATTAATTAGTAACCATCACTCTGTCTATCTATAATATAAAGATCATCTATATGCTCATTAGAAGGTGTAGAATCTACTGTAGATTGAAATTCAGTAGATTTATCTTATTATGATTGAGTGACAGTTGATTTCATAGACTTGATTTCAATCATTTGAAAAGTTTTATTGAACTCTTTTTTTGATTCATCAGCTCTACACATTGCAATTTTGTGATTTGCATTCTTTATAATGAGAACTCCTCCTACTTGCATCTGCCTGTGGGAGGATTTGACAACTCAACATTTATTTATACAGTAATGAGTAGTTAGTTCACACTCTCAGTATGCATTCAATTCCATCTGAACCATACTACTTTTGAAAATCTTATTCAACTGCTTAATTAATTCAGATGTAAAAGTATTCTTCACATTTTGTAAAACCTTCTCTGCTGCTTCAATTTGATGATGTAGTTTTGCAACTGTATCTGGAGATGTCAATTGTGAAGATGCAATTGACAGTTGATTTGT